TTATAAAAGAAGAATTAAGCTGTAATTTGGTGGAAACCCTAATTTTCCAGGACTTTCCGTTTCGTTGAAAAAATTCTCAACTCTACATAACCATAATCAATTGATGACGTCCTCAACATAAAAAAATTTTTTTTAATGAAAATGGTGCGAATTAACCAAGTTTTTTTAAGATTATAAAAGAAGAATTAAACTTTAATTTAGTAAACTACCTCACTTTCTAGGAGTTTTCGTTTCAGTTTTTATAAATTTTTCCCAAAACTGATTAAACCCAGATATTAAATTGTATGCATAAGACGAAGTAAATTAAATGTTAATATAAGTACTACGCCAAAATGAAGCATCCGTGTTTACTATCGTCCACGAAATCCAGCCAAGATACGTCGACACTTATAAACATTTCATTATCGTTACAAGTAGATTAGACGTTGATTGAATATATACACTTTTCAATATATATAACATGTTGTAACATTAGATGGATGTTTTAATATTATTAGGACATTTTTTTAAATAGATTTCAAAAATAATATTTAGATTTAGATCCTCAATAAAAATATATTTAATTTTATGTTACTATCTTTAATTTTACAATGTTGCATTTGTTAGAAATGTCTTAATATATATACAGACTGCTCGACGAGAGGGACTAAGGCGAAAATTGACCCAATTACAATAAAAACACCGTAAATCCAAGAGAGCAAGTCCAGAATAGAACAGGGGCCGCGGCTTCTGTGACAATTATGCGCCCGCTCCCAGAATAACGTGCTGTAAATTCCACAAAGATATTAGAGTGGTAAATATAGTACGCGAAATGACTATGGGCTCCATATACCAACGTCATATTGTTTTCCGTTCTACGCGAGGAGACTGGCCGGAGACGCGATGATTTGGTGAGATGTTTTTAAAAAAGTTACTACTACTACGTTTACACTTAGATGAGAAATTAAATTGCTAATTTCGCGCCGATACGTAATCCAAGGCCGGACGGTTCCCGTGGACTAATTACGCACATTCCACGATTTTAATTAAACGCTATATGGTTAAAAACCGGCGAACGTTTATCGATTTATAAAAATCATTATACGCGTTTGAATATCAATGCGAATAGGTTCGCGCCGTTTGAGTAATGAGAGCATTTCAATTATCCACAACACCGTGTGCTGTGCGTTCACAAATTTCTATCCATTTCATTTTTATAATTGTCTTGTCGTAATTGACTTATTGTTTTTTCCGTTGTACAACGCAAGAATGTCCAGCGTCGTAAATTACCACGCCGTCGTTGAAACCTTGAGATGTGACAAATTGATCTACAAATACCAAGGAACTGTACGGAGACCTTTTCATGATGCACAACTTGCATGTTGTCGTAAATTTCATTCATCCTTTTTAATAAAATATCAACGATACTTACATCAGTCACGTTTCTCGTATAAGTAGTTATAAAAAGAGGATAATTTCAAACGCTTATTTGCTTCGAGTCTTGTTATTTTTATTTATTTCCTTTTTAAATATCGCGCTGAACGAAGGCTGCCAGCTCGTCTGCAATTCCTTATACTCCTATTGATACCAAGAAATTCCATAAGATTAAAATTCAAGCTAAAGACTTAGTGGTACGAGGTGAATTAGAGATTATGAAGATGGGATATCAAAATTGACAGTATAGACAATCGAATACCTGGACAAAACCTTTCCAAGCATACTAACGTAATGTTAACATCTCTTGGAATGTCTTTGCGGCTTGTTTCTTCTCTTTTATTTTATTAACCCAAATGTTCATGATGCAATCCGTTAAAAATTGTCAGAGACAATTTTAACACCTACTCCTCGGCTCCTCCTAAACCCACTTTAACGTTTCCGTAGATGATATCATCGGTTGTCTCATTTTCGTCAACATCACGATCACCCAATTGACACAAACGGGACCGCGACCGCGCGCTCCTTTTTAAACAATTAGCAACAAAATGAACTAATTCTTCGTTTTCATCTCAACTTTCATAATCACCGCGTCAGTACTTGCGTCAACTTTTTCTTATTTTAGTTTATTTTTTATACTTGGCGTTTTTTTCCGAGCACAAAACGGATGACCGCCCAACGAGGAGATGAAAAGCGAGAGTGGAACAACGATCCGTAAAAAGTAAAGCGAAGAAACCGTTAACTTCGCGCGACAATACGAAATGCCAAGAGTTCAATTTGAACCGGTGACCGGCCCTTCCCGCGCTAACATATTAGTCATGTTATATTAAGCTTGGCTTTTATTCAATGCCGACACACCTCCAAGTTATACATATATCGGCACTGTTCGAGCCTTTAATACGTAGTCCAAAGACGACGGTGTAATAATAGCCACGTTGTTTGTACGATGTACATGGTTTTATTCGTTTATTTCTTAACATTTTATCACATCGTGAAGATCAAAAACAACAAACATTTAAAGTAGAAAGAATGTTTCGATAAAATTTGTAGGAACGAAGGAAATATTTTGGAGTATTGAAAACAGATTAAATTTGCTATAAAATAGTTTTTAAATCATCTTGATATTTCTATTACTTTGTGAGATATAATTTATTTATTTAAAATCAATTTAAAATCATCTTCAGGATTCTGAACCACCTAATACATTCAAATCAATAATACCGATTATATTAATAATACTAAATTACAAAAACATGTTATGTCACTAATCGCTAAAACGTAAATTACTAATTCTACGTTAAAATAAATTCAAAGTTTATAGAGTTAAAGTTTAGACATAACCATAAAAATAACAACATGTTTTTGTAACTATGTTTAATTGGTGTTATTGATTTGAATGTATTAGGTGGTTCAGAATCCTGAAGATGATTTTAATAACAAATCGAAACCGGTAGATCCGAAAAATAGAAATAAATCGATCCATCAAAAAGTGGAAAAATCGAGTTTTATTTAATTTACACAATGGAAAGAAACAATGATAATAGCAATAAAAATTGCCTAATCACAGACATTAATCCACAAACATTTGTTGATCTTCAATCAATAAAGTTGATAGATATATATACTATGACTTGAAGTCCCTCCTTTCGAAGAGAAATCATTTTATACAATTCACACAATTTCAAATCTTCCAGAAATTGATGTTTCGTATTCACATCTATGCTCTTTGATTCATTACGAACAGATTTGATCCTGTTCAAAGAAATGATTTCGCAATCTTCTTGAGAACAACACGAATGTGCTTCTATCATCTTCAGCTGAGTCTTAATCATTCACTGAGATTTGGATCAAAATCGCAACATCGATTCTTGTTTGATTCGAATATTCAGCATTCATTTTCTGTTTTAAGAGAAGCTTTATTTTTTTTACTTCTAACAATTAACTCCTAATAGTTATCAGAAATGATTTTGGCAATCATAATCTTCCAAAAATTGTATCCACTTTATTTGAAGAAATTTAAAAAATGAAGTATGTTCAACACAGTGAATTTCACTTAAGATACAATATACAAAAATATATTTCCATAGAAACCGGGGCCAGTTCCACATAAAATGCAATATATCCATATAATTTTATATATAATACATATATCTCTATGTTGCATATTTTTAGTAGACCAAGAACTAGAATCATTCGGGTTTAGCCGTCTTAAGAGACGTATGGCTAAACCCAAATGTTTCTAGTTCTAGATCTAATGTTAGTTCTAGTGACAGTGCAAGTGTGAAACTAGAACTAACACTATACCTAGAACTAGAATCATTCGGGTTTAGCCGTCTTAAGAGACGCATGGCTAAACCCAAATGTTTCTAGTTCTAGATCTAATGTTAGTTCTAGTGACAGTGCAAGTGTGAAACTAGAACTAACACTATACCTAGAACTAGAATCATTCGGGTTTAGCCGTCTTTAGAGACGTGCGGCTAAACCAAAATGATTCTAGTTCTCGGTATAGTGTTAGTTCTACATAGTAATAGTGCTGGTGTAAAACTAGAACTACGTCTTCAGACGCACGGCTAAACCCGAAACTTTCTAGATCTAAGTCTAGTGTTAGTTCTAGGTTTAATTGTTATACAGCGCTAGATTGTGATATATTTGTATTGAACGAAAAGTAGAACACTAGACCTAGAACCAGAAACATTCGGGTTTAGCCGTGCGTTTCTTACGATGGAAACTCAGAGTTATCATAAGGATGTCAAGCAAAACTTTTCCTTTGCAAAACTACCCAATGCCTGCACTTTTAAGCTATGTTGCATTTTATGTGGGACAGTGCAAGTGCATAGTAGTTTCGTAACTATGGTTTCATATATTGCGAGTTATATGAAATTAAATACTTAAAAAAATAAGTAGATATTTATTGATGGACAGAATACATCATCATACCTTTACCAGAATCATAGCTCACTTTAGAATCTTGGCAAGAAAAAGCTATGTGTATGTATTTGCAGGTGTTAGAGATTATTTTGTTATTTATGTTCATGTCAGGCTATAATAATAAAGTATTTACGTTCATCTCAAGCTATAATAAACTAAAGTATTTTATAACTATTCAACGTATTTTATAAAAAAAATCGAAGGACGACCTCGTTTCTGTTTTATACACTTTTCCACACTTTGCGAGTTAATGCAGCAGAACTAACAACATTGTGATTAGATTGTATTGGGTATAATAGATAACTAATTATCTGTATAACAGGTTATAGTGATTATAATAAACATTTATTGAAACGTAATGCTGGTGATATCACAAAAATTTGTTTATTATTCTTGGTTAATCTTTGTTATTAATTCCAAAACGCACAAGTAGCGAAGTATCAGGTGTGAATTTAAAGCAAGTGGTTATTATAATTATTCGTAACTGGTTAAAAAATAAAACCCACGTGCTCATTATGGAGGTTTGGCAGGACAAATTTTGTCTTGTGATATTGCAGGTGTTTCAATCCATATAAAGTCCAATAATAAAATTCAAATTATAAATAGTTGTTTATACACCACATTAAGTTTTATTTATATATACAAATTTTTTTTTTCAGAATGTATATTCGGAAATGAAGTGAGAGAATTGGGATCAGCGTGGGTTCCGGACTTAGGTGTACCAATCGGAGTACTTTATTGCATGAAATGCGAATGCATACAAGTAAGCACCTATTTAATTTATTTACACGGTTATATACGCAATATTCTCATTGCGCAACCCATAATCTATTTATGTTGTTTATTTTGATGCGATTGTCTTAATAAAAAATGGAGGGCGCCAGATTTTAGAAGGACGCGACATATTTTCGAACTAATTCAAGAATATGTTTACGATATTGCGAGAAATGTTTTGAAAATTTTTGTTACTTTAATAAGTCGGAGAGAGGATGATTTTCTGTACAGATCGTGAACAAATATGTAATATAATCGACCTTTGCAAAGAGACACAGACTGGCGCCCGTCCCGCATACGGATTGATAAACTTGCGATTTTCATAGACGGCGCCTCCCGTTTTGCTGTTTACAATTTTTTTTAATGCCACGTTCGCAAGACGACAGCTACTTATTGTTATTGTTTTATTATCGGTGTTATGTTCACTTTGTATTGCAACCCAGACATTATTTAGATTAATAATTTAATTCAAAAATTAGACCACTATTGTTTCTAATTTCTTTATTATTGGTAAAAATTGCAATTTTCATAGAACTTGGTTTATGGCCTACACACACTTTCTCCATGACGCCCGAACCCATTTGGCACCGCTTAAAGTCGCCCAACATAAGGAGGCGCGGGCGTCGGTGTTAGAGGTCACCGAGGTCGCTGACCGGCAACTGTTTCACGAAGATCGCCATCGTGTGATCTACCGACACCTTTTGCATGTTCTTCTCACCTACACTCCATATTTCACCAACCCCCATATGCTAAAGACGGACCTGATCACGTAGCACTCTCTTATTCCAGAATTTAGACCCAATAGATTTTTCCTGCTTTCACGAAACAGTTGCTAAGTGACTATTGACAAATCATTTCATTAAACAGTCAAACATTTCGGTAAAAATCACAAAATTTTCCGTAAGTCGACGATTGCAGTTTCCAACGAAATTTAATAACTAACAAGAGTCTTTATTGAAATGGATTTCTTATTAATGAGGTTAATTATTTGAACTCACCATGCCAAGATTGAACGTCAAAGCTGAAATCGACTGTCTAACTAAGGAATTGGAAAAGCTCGACGCGAGAAAGTGCTGCCTGGAATCGAACGCCAGAAGGATTCTCAAGGAAATCGGAATATTAACCGATCAGATCGAAAAAACCGAATGCGAAGCCGAAAGAGCACTTCTCGACAAACTGGAAAGAGAATGTCGCGAAAGAATTCAATGTGGAATAGAAAGACTGATACAAGAACAGAGGTCAGCCCAAGCCATCCTATGTAGGTACGAGCAAAACCTTCGATTAAAATTCAAAATGTTAAAAGGATGTCAACACGACAAGCAAATATGTTTGTGTCAAGTTCCAACTTCTTGCAAGGATAGCGATAATGGGGAGTGTGATGATGGAGGAGGTGATGATAGCGATGATTCCTCGGTATGTTGTCCACCTAAATGTGGTAACTGCAGCGACGATGATTAATTACTATTTCGGTTTTGTCTTTTATCGTAAAAATTGTGGTAATCAATTGTTGCTGAAAAAAGTCTCATGTTGAGATTTTTAAATAAAAATTATTGTTTTAAAAAATTCTTTTTATTTAATCCAAAAAAAGGACTAAAAGATTTTTAGAGTAACAATGTGAAAAAATTGGGTATTATGACTTATGATATTGCTGCGATCTTTTCTCCGCTACTTTGGCTTCTATAATTAACCTAAGAAGGTTAAGCTTTTTTTCTTTGACGGTTTTCAAAAGCTCCATATCTTTACCCATACGCTCTAGCATTTCCCCATATCTTGAAGCAGCCTTATCTAACTCCTTCTATGATCGCTCTCTATTCTGATGTCTCACCATTCACTTGAACTTTAGCGATTTGATTCCAATACAAACCAGCGATTACACGAAGATTTCCCGCGTCCACTCACATAGATCTTAGGATCTCTGCAAGCTTTTGGTGTTGTACGCATCGAAAACGTGAACACTAAGAAAAAAGGATGGATTGAAGATCGAAACTTTGGACAAGTTACTCCGAGTATCAAAGACAGGTTGAAGAAGCTAGTTAATACATTAGCTACTTTGGACACTTAGCGAATTTGACAGATGGAAAACCTTTATAAGATGAACCTGGCTAAGGAAACAGATGGCGCAGGATTGGGAGGAATGGACCACAATAATAAATACCTAATATCACTTAAACTCTCTCAACGCTGGAAGGACTTGACGGCAGAGGTGGAAGAATAAGAAAAGTTAGTGCGACAAGTACACCTGATATGTCTGATGATGATGATTTTTATGAATCTTATCATAAAACTAATTCAAGTGCAGGTTAAAAGTTGTTTTTTTATTAACAAATGTAAATTGAGCTAAGAATGAGTAGTTAAATTTAAACCTATACAAAGTAAAATAATTTTAATAATAATTCTAAGATCAAAATGACGAAGATGTTTATAGTGATACTGAATGAATTTGACAAAAGATTCGTTATACTCTTGTTATTTCAGTTTGAAATGTATTCGATTTGAAAAAGCGAACCAGCAAAGGTGTCATTTGAAGCTCACTGGTCTGTTAAATGGCGGAGCGTAACGAAACGCGACACCGAACTGCGAGAATGAACGGTTGCGACACGAGTGGCGACCGTACAAAACCGCAATCGACTAAGGTTATGTACGTGAAATTCGACCACTGATTACTAGTAGATACGTGTTCATTATTCCGCACATAGAATATCCGATGGCTTTTTCATTACCTGATTATTAATTCCTCTCTACCGACATCTTTCTACTCTATAACTTTGTATCTTGTCTTTTTGATCGATTATATTTTATTATGAGACTCATCCTTACACAGTGAATTTCACTGTTTGTGTCACTAAGAATGCAGTATACAAATATATTTCCATAGAAATATCCCACATAAAATGCAACATGTCAATATAATTTGACATTACACTAAAACCTCGATATAACGGATGAATACGGGGAACGCAATGTCCGTTATAGCTCAATAAAAATATACAACAACCTAGAATAACAAATAAAATTACTCAAGATCTAGAACTAGAAAAATTTCGTTTAATCGTGCGTCTCTTAAGACGGCTAAACCTGAATGTTTCTAGTTTTAGGTCTAGTGTTAGTTCTAGTGACAGTGGTAGGTAGCGCTAGTTAGTATAAGATATCACTATGTTGCATATTTTTATTGCACTACAACTGGAACTAACACTAGACCGAGAACTAGAAACATTCGGATTTAGCCCCACGTCTCTCAAGACGGCTAAACCCGAATGATTCTAGTTCTAGGTTTAGTGTTAGTTCTAGTTTTACACTTGCACTACAACTGGAACTAACACTAGACCGAGAACTAGAAACATTCGGATTTAGCCCCACGTCTCTCAAGACGGCTAAACCCGAATGATTATAGTTCTAGGTTTAGTGTTAGTTCTAGTTTTACACTAGCAATATCACCAGAACTAAGACAAGACCTAGAACTAGAACCATTCGGGTTTAGCCGTGGGTCTGTTAAGACGGCCGAAATCTCAGGATTATGATAAGAACGTTACTTTTTTTCAAGCAAAACTTTTCCTTTGCAAAACTACCCAATGCCTGTACTATTAAGCTATGTTGCATTTTATGTGGGACAAGTGCATAGTAGTTTTGCAACTATGGTTACTGCGAGTTATATGAAATTCCCGGTATAAATATACTTTGCATTAATTTTCCGAACGTTTCTCTCGTTATAGATTCAAAAGAAACGAAGGATAGTGGCTAAGGTGCAATGTAGAAGTATAAAAAATGAATGCCCGGAGCCGAGTTGTGCGGAGCCGGTCCTGCTTCCGGAGAGATGCTGCAAAACCTGCCCTGGGGACACATATCGTAAGTATTTTATTCCTTTCTATTATTATTTTTACTTTTTTTAAGTATCTTCTTCTATAAATAACAAGAACAAATAAAAAAAAACTATTTTTAATACTCCAATTGATGTAATGAATGTGAGAGTTACATCTTCGATATTTCGAGGTCTTTGGCCTACAGAAAGCAATTATTTAATTGCGAGAGGAGCCGCGCACGTCTGTAACTGCTCTTAAAGTGCATGAGGACATACATCATTGTTTATGTAACACATCGTTAGGGTCTGGCGAGAAGAGATTTCTTCGAATTAAGACAAACGAGTTCTGGATTGATGTCATTTAACAACGTTTGTTTCTTGTACTTATAATTTATTACTTAAAAGATTCTAAGCGAAAGCCGATTTAAAACTATATAACTTAATTATTTAAAGAATTCAATGTTGAGGATTAAGTAATATTGATAATTGCACATTAGCCGTGATAAACTCTCTGATTCATCCAGCAAAATGATGTTATTATAGCAACCATCTCGTAAATAGATCCGTTGTTTAAGCGAATTGCATTACATCCCGTTTCATAACGTTCGTTAAAGTCCAATGTCAAGGTCATCGTTTTCTAAACGCGAAATAAATTCAATTGCGAGAGATATTGTTTAGCGACCAATTAAAGAATATAAATAAATTGGTTGGCAAATGTAGTCATCATATATCAATAAATATTAAGAACAAATATTGAATGAAAAAAATTGTTTGAACCTGATAGAAATAGATCACACCCGGTATCCAAGTTCAAGCTGAAACGAAAACGTTCGTTTCGTAATTGATGACAAGTGGCGCCAAAATCGTCAGTTACGTAAAACCAGAGGCGGCTCAACGCCGTAGCCGATATTGGTGGCGACGACGACATCGACGGCGACTTCCTTATCCAGACAAACTCGGAGAGTTTCCCTTCCAATTACGCGAAATGTCGATGAACTTCGAAGACGACGACGTCGTCGCCGTCCCCAGACGTAAAGGTGTGTCCAGACATTGCGCGGCATGCCGCGCGATGTTTGGACGTGACGCGCGCGGCAAATCTGTCACTCGCGAACATTTTTAATAAGCGTCCTGTAACATTGCCGCGCAAACATTCTTTGGTATGTTTAAACTTGCGCGAGGCAGAATTGTGTCCTACGAATGCAGCGTGAATTTTGCATTGGAGACTTTTTGTCCAGATACGGCCCTGAAATTGTATAAACACCGGTCGACGCCGCATATCTTGTTTGATTTTCGCTTTCTTAAATAGAAAAAAGTACGTTCGTCTGCTTACGCGAAGCTATCGTAAACACGAGAAAAAAATCCGTAGTAAACACGACGAGTTTTTTTCTCTCAATTTTTTTTTTCGATATTTTTTTATTATCGCTGAGGATATAGGCCACCTTGAATTGGTTTTTCTATCGCGAATTAACCTTCGTATCGAATACGATGATGATTCTCTTGAGGATAGAATGGAATTTTATCGCAGCGCGTTCGCTCTCTAATGTTTTTGTTATTTAAAACTGACCGCTAAAAATAGATTTGGTTCGCTAAATTTTCGGTTAATGACATTTATTCACTGGCGCCTATATTTTATTTGGGGACACCGGTTTTTTCTTAAAATAGCAATATTATCTGAAGCCGATTTTAATTATTATTTATTACAACGGATTAATTCAAAATTACTGTACCCAGGAGTATAATATCATTTCATTTTATATTTTTGTAAACAACATAATATTTTCATTGATAATATAAATTCACATGATTTAAACAACAAAAGTGTCTTGAGAAGGCTTATTATTATTATTATTATTATTGCTGCCGGGCTGAGGAGGGCGGCCCCTCTCGTTACCGCGACCTATAAGATCTATTGTAACTTTATTTTTTTGAGAAGGCCTTCTTGAGAAGGCTTATTTCGCTGGAAGATGAGTACTTCACTCATCTTAGCCAAGGCAATTCAGGAAAATACAAAGGAGGCTAAATCTTGACATTTACACATACATCAGGAATATCATCCACATCTGCCTAACGCCTATCTTCTACTGACTTCATTCTTCCACTCCACGCTTCTTCTTCTGCATTCACAATCCAATCGACCGTTTTCTTAGCCTCACAACCCTCAAATATCAAGTAGTAACATCTAATACTCGAAAATATTCTCCATTTGCTTATACAGGAAGTTCCTATAAGTCGTGGCATAATTTTAATCACAAATACTAGAGTTAAAATGATGATGATTTGATTGACGATGCGTCTAAATAAGAAGAATATGCTGATATAATTTTCGTGTATGGGTTTTTTAATGGAAATGCTCGACAATCAGTAGTAGTAGTAGTAGTAAATAATTGAAATAGGCATTTTTTTTTGGTAATTGGATTAGCTGTCATATGTCAAAGTTTGATGGTGACCTAATAAATCATCCTGTATATAGCATTGATCTCGTGGTTGAAAAGTGATCTTAAACGATTTCTCATGATAACATTGCATTGTTTGCCAAGTTTTATCTTTCTAAGACAAAGCACATTGAAAGTCGAAAAATTTTTTACATGAATCATCATCATGTTAACACTAGTATTTGTGATTAATGTTATGCCACGACTTATGTAAACACCCTGTATAATACTTCAACTTTAGATTCCTAATATTTAGAGGACTTGGAATTTTAACGATTCTGCCTCACAGTTCTATAGAACCATATCATAATCAGATTATGGAGAAGTCAACGTAGCACCTTGAAGTTGTATCCATGTTTCAAAAACTATATATCGAATTTCCTCAATAATATCATATTTGTAATAGCTTCAAAAATCCACCACACTTCGTTCGTAATCTTCATCGAAAAATGTGTTTTGCACCACTCCTAGATTGATTTTTATCTAAAGACTGGGAATAAATCATGTTGGAAAATTCATTGTTTGTTTATGTAAACTCCACGGTTTTGGATTTGTTTTGTTGGTACACTCTGATTTTGTTCTTTTCACCCGGAGAAGATCTATGTTGCCACTGCCATGTGTTAATATAATGTGTTATCTTCTTATCCCTGAGTATGATTTTTTTGGCTTTCCGGCTTTTGTTCTTTATGAAGCTAATAAACAAAATAGTCTTACACTATTTTGTTTATTCTTAATCTCTATTTTTAAAATTTTTTATGACTATTCATGTTGATGTGGCGGTATAAGCCACCATGTGCTACAACTTAAAGAGTAACGTCCCTTTAGTATTAATTGTGAGTTTTCTTATGACGTACTCAAAGCCAGGTTAGAAAGTGTAGATGCAGGGCCATCTTTCTGCTTCAGCTCGGAGAACGTTTGGAAGTTCTGGACGTTCTGGATCTTCACTTAGTGATTTTAGTCAAGACTATTCGATATAATGCTTTTACACCAATCCTTTCGCAGTGTTTCGTATGTCCAAATTTGCGACACCATAGCTATAACCATAAAATTTTTGTATTTGACGTTATTATTGCATATGGCGTATTCAAATCTAGAACATATTTGGTCAAGGAGCAATTCTGTGTTAAGAATGGTAAGAGATAGTCTGGTGTTCATGGTGTTTGTTTGTAGTGTTTGTAGTTTGGAGGACTTTCACTACACTTGTACTTCTACGAATAGTTAATTGTCTAACTGTTGCGGATTTTTGTAGCATCATCGACTACTGTAGCGACAGCGTTATTGTAATAAAATATGCGGAGATTTCATTATTTCATCAAGAAAATAGATGTTGTCCTGGATATTGCCTTAATTTGACGTCTATGGGGCGGAGATATCAGATGAATTCATGTTGTGTTTCATAGAGGCTCCAGGTGATGCATTTTAGACTTCCTTATTGTACCACAGATTGAGTTAATTGAATTGACCTAAACTGCAAATGCTAAAAAATTGTGGCAAAAGCCATTTCGTTAGTTTAAAACTTTAAATATTCAAATTCAAAATGATAATCAAAAAAATTAAATAGAAATAATAAAAAAATGAAACAGATAAATAATTTTCATTCAACATAAAAAAATACCATTAAATTACATAAATGTCTTCTCTTTCCAAAAAGATAGTTGTCTATAACCGGATTTGCATCTGTTAATTATTTCATGATCGCTTCGATGTGGATCATTAAAATTTGGGTATCTAGGTGTTTGGTGTTGTAGTTTTTTGAGTAACGTTCGATAGTTAAACGCGAGTCACGTTAGTGACGTTTTCTAACCTCGAAGATTGGTCAGATGGCGTCTAGGGACTAAAAAGGAAGAAACGGGCTGTCGCAACGCAAAACGATAATCGCTTGGCAGGCGGACAGACGGCCGCAAAGGAGAAAGCGTCCGTTCGCCTTTTTCAATAGTGGACCGCCGTGGCCCCGCCGAACCCTATAGGGAAGCGATTTCGCGACGAAATCATCCGCCGCGGGGCTGCTTACCCGGCGCTACAAATAACACTTATTGTGTTTTTGGTATTAAAAAGTTTTTTTAAGAAATTGATTTCTATTTAGTTATAATTATAATTGCTAAATTTGATGGTGAATAGACGTCAAAGGAAGTTATCATCATGTTACAACATTAAGGATGCAATTAGCTCGGCGGTTGACGTCGGTATCGTTGTTGGAAAAAACTACGATTTTTACAGAGTATTTGCGCCCGATAGAAAAGTGGTTCCTTGCCAAAACCGATCTGTTCGCCATTAGCAGGTGCCGATGCCAACGAAAACAATCAGCTCAGTCGGCCATTCAGTGTTTCCTCAAATAGACCCAGACGGGTGTCTCTTTAGAAAATAAATAAAAACCGCCAACGCTATATTTAAGTGGCGATTTTTTTTATTTCTTTTTACTTAACATTAAAAAATTAGATAACATTGTATTTAAATTAATAACTATATTTATAAATAAAATGATAAATTTTTGTACTTATTAAACAATAAATTAAAACAATTTTTGGAATTATATCAAAAATTAACTTTTTTAGTACTTTTTATCAATTTTATTATTTATGAATAGGTTTATATAGATTATCTTATAACAATATTTTTTTTTAATTAAAACATATCTTTATTCTTATATCTAAACCTCGTATTTACTTATTATCTGATTAAATATCGCGTTTAAATGAAATCAGGATGTTTAAACCCCTTTAATATAGGCAATTTAAATAACGCGGTGTTCAGTTAAGTTGCCTATATTTAGGCGTTTTTTTTTAAAGAAAATTACAATCCGAATAATTTGATTTATTTTATATTTATTTATTTTCAGTTCCTGATGTTATACAAGACGTAATTAGACATGACATGGTGGACGGGGATGATAAAAACGCTAAACGTGAGTACCAAAATCACGTCGAAGATGTCCTAGGTACATACCATCACTTATTTTAATTATTTTTAATCATTCATTCATTTTTCACCAAAAAAAAGTTTCTATAAAATTTTCCATTTCTCCTTTAATTCCAGATTACGCAGCCCTTTTAACGGATCGTTCATCGTTACAATTAAGGAACGATAATAATGAGCCGATCATAAACGACAATAAGAATAATGTTATTGCAACCGGAAGGTTTACTTTCCACAAGCGAAATCTTTATTATTCTTTTTATATATCTGATAAAGCAGCTCGGCCGAGAACTTTGCAGTTTGTGAATTATGAAGGGCATATTTTGGAAGAACATATTTTATCGGACGTTGGTGGACATGTCAGTAGTAGATATCAAAATGCGACGAGGAAAGTTTGTGGGGTGTGGAAAAGATTGCCGAAAGATTACAGGAAGATGTTGCGAGATGAAAGAATGTACGTGGTTTTGGGGTGGGGTTCAAAAGAACAAGCTGAGTTTACTTTAAGCGCTCAACTTATGAAATATGTCGCTTTGGGGACAGAATTATTCAGCTCGTTACTTGAACCCTCACCAGGAGCTGATATGAATTTAATGGCTGGATCTGGAGGGACAGCTATTGTATCAATTTCAACCCAACTCTCTCCATCAATACACATAGCCGTCGTTTTTAACGGGTTATTCACCCCAGAAGAAATCCATCAAGTACCTTTAAACATAACTTTAACTTTCGATGATCGAAAAGTTATATTAACCGAAAAAGTTTATGTGCAAAAACCAGCTACGGAATTAAATTTAGTCGAAATAAGCTCACCAATTTCACAAAGTGATTTAAGGCACTTAACTCGAGGAAAATTAGTTTTATCAATTTCTTCAGTTTCAAATCCAACAATTCTCAAATTATCTGGAATGATAATGACCAAAGCGACTTGTGAATTATTCCAAACGCCGTTATCTTCATCAGGTACCGAAGGAAATAAATTAGGTATATCCGGATTAGCTTGGGTTTATCTTAACAACGAAGGTTCTTTGGTGTACAATGTTCAAGTAGATGACGTTAACCCCGATGAAAAACCCCTTTACATCACCTTAAACGATATGACCGGAAAGAAAAGATTAGAACTGGAAGACTTAACGCCTAGTTTTAACAACGGTTGGGCGAATGGAACGATCGATAAATTAAGTCCTAAAGTTTTAGAACCTTTATATTCGGGAAATCTAGCCGTTAATGTTGTCGTCAACTCAGAAATGAATATTATTCGCGGTAGATTAACACCTAAACTCGTTGCGGATGCGAGAGATGCTTCCGCTCCGGTTCTTTTAAAACGTGAGGATAACACATTACCAGCGTCCGCCGTTGGAATGGGTTGGTTTGTTTTGGATAACGATTGTCATTTACATTATGACGTGACATTGACCGGATTACCAAATTCGGAAAAGAGTTTAGAATTGTCATTGAAATTTTTACCTATGAGTGTCCCTGGAGCTCCGTATTCAATAAGAGTCTTGGATCCAATCCAAGGAAATCAACTGGAAGGAGGTACTATTGAACCTTTGATGAAAGAGGAATTATCTAGATTGGATACGGGAGTTGTTTTCGTAAAAATTCGGAATATTAGTACAAAGGATATTTTACTTAAATCAACTTTAAGAGAGGTAAGATTCTCGTTAAATTGTGAACTTAAACCGTCTCATTCCTAATATTTTGTAGGTCAAAGTTCCAGTATCTTGTTTATCAATTCAAACAAATTCTTTACCAAGTGAAGGTGATTCGGGAGAACAACACAAAAGTTGTAATTACGATAACAGATATTATCAAGTAGACGAAAGATGGACTTCCGTTGATAATCCTTGCGAAATGTGTTTTTGTCAAGACGGAAAAGTACACTGTGATATTTCACCCTGTCCAGACAATCCATGTCCGAAAGGAATGAACAAAACCAAATTTCCAGGAGAATGTTGTCCGGTGTGTCGCAACGCGACAATACACGAAGACAAACCCGAATTACTCAGAGGATGCGTATTTAATGGGAAGTTTTTCTCGGTCGGAGCCGTTTTTCACCCGTTCCTAATCCCTACGGGTTTCGATAGGTGTACAAAATGCGAATGCGATGAGTCGGTGGTAATAAAATGCGCCCGAATTGTTGATAATAAAATTTGCTGTAACAATTGTCAACCGCCTGCCGAATCGGAAAACGGAACATACGTTAGTGATCCATCTTTACCTGTCGTTATAGAAGCACCCATTTATAATAAATCGGTTACTAAGATTTCTAATGCTTCGCAAATTTTAAGTGAAGGTGGATGTATTAATTCTTATGATGGATCTAAACCATATAAAAATGGACAAACTTTTCATCCTTACATAGAAGCTTTGGGTGAATACAAATGTGTAACTTGTACATGTAATGTAAGTATTTTGTATATTGTTGGTAATTTTATTTTATATGTATTAACTCATAACTTCTATTAAGTTGCATTATTTTTGCTTAAATGAAAAGATGATATTTGTAGACGTTATTAATCTTAATCATTGTAATTAACTTAAAAATAAGCAAAATTTCCAAACAATTTTCTTTATTCTCTGTAACAATTGGGTTTTGGTACTCTTCTTTGATAGAATTTAGCGGAAGTCATCATATTCGAGCTTGCACTGGCGTTATCTTAACAGTTTTGACGATAAAACGCGCTTAGTAACATCCTCTTGGAACTACTTGGATTTACAGTGATACAATAAAGTCCCAGAAAATGATAATATCTCAGCTCCTCAAATGTAATTCAATGAATTTTTTAAACGAAAGATATTAGAAGTATATTTTATTTTAATACAAAGTTCAGTTCGAGTTGTGCTACGAAGTGAAGGCTACAGCAGTAGATTTAGTCGCAAGTCTCTCAAGACGGCTAAACCCGAATTATTCTAGTTCTAAGACTTATGCTAGAGTTTTAGTTCAATAAAAATATACAACATAGTGATATCTTATGCTAACTAGCGCTACTTACCATTGTCTCTAGAAAACTAGAACTTGAACTGGAACTTGCTAAACTTGAATTATTCTAGGTCTTATGTTAGCTCTAGTGATAGTGCTAGTGTAAAACTAGAACTAACACTAGACCTAGAACTAGAAAGTATCGGGTTTAGCCGTGCGTCTGAGGACGCACGGCAAATATGAAATTCGATAAGTCTATTTCGTATTGTTTTAGAATAAAGCTAAAAATAAACTTTTTTTTAGTGTCGTCAAAGAAATTAAATTTACAGTTTCCTGTAAATTACGCTACTATAACTAAAAATTATTCTACTAAAAATTTATATAAAATTTACTTTATTTTCGAATATATAACATTCTAAGATGTTAAACTTTTCGTAATTCATCTTTAAAAACAAGATTTTTAATTTGACATTTCAGAAAATTTTTGAATACTAACACATGTTTCTATGTTTATTTGGATTTAAAAAATATATGAGCGCCATCTATCAATAATTTATTAAGTCATTTAATAATAATACTAAATATTAATAAAAAATGTGAAATAATGCAATCTATTCCAATTTTTGTGTAAAACAAATATAAATTAAATAGTTCAGCAAATGTATTTGTTTCAAATATCATAAATATGTCGTTTTAATTTTTAGTTATAATTTACAGGGAACTGTAAATTTAATTTCTTTTGCGACACTAAAAAATATGCTATAGGTGTTAAAAATGTTAAAAGATGTTAAAAAATTTCATTGAATTACATTTCGGGAGCTGAGATATTATCATTTTCCGGGCTGTATGTAGACTTTATTGTGTCACTATATCTAATAATATAAACAGAAATTTTGCTTGTTGACACAGCTGTGAAGGTATAAGCGGGAATTTCGCGTCATTTCGAATGATTTTCTTGTAAACGAAATCTTTATCTTGCATTTCTAACACCAAGTTAATGAAAGCATGGCGTTGTCCATGGTCAGATGGCTTCAATTCATGTGTTAGTTAGACTTTGGAAACTTTTAGAGCATGATCTTTACGCTATATACGATATCTTCTATATTTTTCATACTAGAAAAAACTTTTAGTATAAAAAATGTAGTATTCTTAACAATATTGATCTTTCCACTTTTGCTCTTAGATGCGTTAAGATCGAGAAAAATGTGAAAATTTGATGATTTCGTGGTTTGACATTTTATTGAGGTTGTGCACGGGATTCGGAACATATTAGAAAAAAACTTTTAGTATAAAAGTTGTGGCAAATTTCATTCTTGACAACATTGCTCTTTTCTACTTTTGGTCTCAGATGTGTAAATATCGAGAAAAATATGAAAATTTGATGATTTCGTGATTTTACGTTTTATTGATATCTTTAATAAAATCTTTTATCTCTGGCTTTCCTCAACATCGTCTCTGGTATCAAATAGTTTCAGACATATGTTAATAACCCAACATGTCTTAAGATTGTGCTGGCTTTTTTTAGATTTCTGGCCATTTCTGGTCTACGAGGAATAAGTAGAAAAAACGATTATTATCTAAAAATCACCACAACTTACTCAACATTTAAAAAAAAAAACTTAATATATTAATTTTTGTTCTCTTTTTTTTTAGAATGGCAACATAAAGTGTCACAGATTTGAATGTACAAGAAAAATGTGTAGGTCGAGAAAATACTCAAATCAATCTACACAAGAATTATCCTGTTGCTCTTCGAACTTTTGCAGAAAACGTCACGGTAGAAGACGTAAACAGAATATGGGATATTAGCGCCCGTATAATAACTGATAAGTACAGATATTTTTTAAAATAGTGGGCAATGTGTTGGCCTCGTAAAAAGTGTGGAGACGCGAGTGCAGTGGCTGGACCCCTTGAGCTCATGTCACCGTTACCGTTAACTTACCAAAGAAGACTGAGACAGTAAGATTAGGCTGGGCCAGAAATTAGGCTGAAATTGGATCGCGCAGTTAAAGAATCGCAGTGGTATTTATTTCATTTTTTTTGAGTGCAAGCATATATATATATAATTAAAATCGTCGTCGATAGGTTTTAAGTTGTAAATATTATTAATTTACTAATTAGAAATTAGTTTAATTAGATTGGATTTGGAATTGAAAAAAAAGAAATTGTTTTTTTATGTTATTTCTTCTTGTTATCTTTTTTTGTAACTTTTCTTTTCCGGTCAATTTTTGAGCAGTCAAACTTATTTATTCCTGTTTTATTCTAACTTTTAACCAGTTCGTAAGTTAATTTATTTATCTGGATATATTTTTGTGTTGTATGAAAAAGCAATTCCATTTTTTATAGTTTGAAGAGTTTGAAAATGATTAAGTATTGAAAATTTGCGATTTAATGTAGATAATTGAATTAATAATGTTAATTCAATTCTTTATATTAAAAACTTAAAGAATTCTTTGACTGCATTTTTTTAAAGATTAAGTAAAAGGTTTTTACTCATGATTGTTAGAGGTAAAGGCTGATATCGAAAATGATAGCGCAATGGAAAACGTTTTCTCCTCTTTATATGTATAATATTTATACCAGAAACAAAATCGTTTTCCGTTGTGGTATTGCCGCCACGATAAATGCAAAGAAAAATTTTGTAAATTGCAAATTTTTATTGCGTACGAGGTGCCATGTTAATTGATTTTTTATTTTTAATTTAAAGATTTTATAGTACTTATTGCAAAGCAAGCAAAATTTTCGAATCTCGCGTGAATGTGAGCGCCCAGTATTTTGTTTTGTAGAGATGATGTTGTTTGATTAATATGGTGATGATGTGATGACTGTAAATAGTATAAATAATAAATTACACGTAACCGTCACTGTTCTAATTAATATATTTAATAACGTTTAGATTTACGACGCATAATTACGCTTGTAATGTATAAAAGAAGTTATTTAAGTATATTATGCTTATCAAGTAAGCCCCCTTTATTATGTAGAATTCTTCTCCTAAATGATTCTGATCGAAAAAATAAAAAAGAAGAAAATAAGAAAATCGATCCGGATCGAGCTGCATTTTGTAATTTATTCTTTATTAGCATAGCGATTCTTAGCGATAACTGTCCATGATATATTTCTTTCTTTTTAGTCGGGTTAAGATAAAGAACTGACGTGCATAAATACTAGTACGACATATAAAACTTGTAAATAAATTTTTAATGCATAATCATGATTGTCTAACAGCTATTTCGACGTAATTGTACCTGCTAGCAAATTGATAATATACGCTTGATTAAAAAAACAACTTTGCGTTTGTAATTATTTATTTCTTCAAAAATTTTGATTACAATTTATTCATCATTTTAGTTTTTGCAAAGTTTAAAGATTCCTCAAAAATTTGCAATGTGTAGTCCACGTTACTTAACGTTGCATTATATCCCATCAAACCTATTCTGAAAACTTTGTCGGTTGTTGGTCCCAAACCACCACTTATTTCAAAATAGTGCCTAAAATAAATTAATTAATGATCCAATAATACATAAAATCAAATTAAAGCTATAAGCTTTTAATATAATCGAAATTTATCCTAAACAATACTGTTCTAAAGTTGGGGAAGAAGTAAAAGTGATTGATAACAGTGATAACATAACACTGATGAGAAATTCACCGCTGCGTAATTGTGGTTGCGTATTTACAGTTACAGCGTAATTGTCGCTGTGCTTGATTCTGTAAAATACAATACATGTTAACTTGACATGTATCGATATTGGGGACGATCTTGATGATCTTGGTAGTGAGTTGAGATATGTTATGGTTATTTTGATGCCATAGATGATGGTAATAAAAGCAAAAAAGAAAGAAAAAGATGTTGAAAGGACACAGTACAGTTGAGACATGTTAAATAATTATGGTGATGTGTGCCATAAACTATTTTGATGGCATAGATGATAATAGGGACTAAGTTACGAGGCGAGCTTTGGTGATAGTAGAGATAATGTTGCTAAATGATGGGAAAGATGTTAATACCGACTCAGATAATGTTAAACATGTTAGGGATTATGTTGTGATATTGATGCAAATTTACCAAATGTTGGCTGAAGCAGGATAATATATGGCACAATGATTAGCTATAATAAAGACGATATTGGTGGATGTTGGAAGATGTTGTGGGGGTGGCTTAGTCAGTATTGAAATATCTCAGGAACGATTTTAATGTTGTAAACGATGCTAAAGAAAGTTAGGGACAATATGGGAAGATAATATCTTAGGCGATGTTAAGCGATATCAGAGAGATCAAGAGAGACCGTTTTGTGCTTTTTGATGATGTTGAGAGATGTCATTGACACAACATGATAATATTAAAAGGTGATAGGGATTATATTGAATTATATAGGGACGATTTTGATGTCAGTGACGATCTTTAACGCCAGCAAGGTTAATATTAAATGATATTGGTGACGATGTTTAAGATTATAAATAATGTTGAGAGATGTTATAGACATTATCTAGCGATATTAGGATAATCTTGATAGCTGATGGGGTGAAATGACATTAAATGACCATTATTTTTCATTCCTTTCACCAAATTTTCGATTCTTTAAGTAGATAAACCATCATATTGTTTTCCTGTATACTCGTCTTTATACTATTTATATTCCTGATATTCCTGCGCATTTTTTTCACACCAAATAATGTTAAATATCGTTAAGCATTGAAACATTAAGTGTCAAGTCAACAAAGCCGGCTGCATTAGCCGCTTACCGGTTGACTGGCAATGAGTAATTAGAAAGTGAAGGAAGCCACAATGATTTCTAAACCGGATATACAGACTAATATCATTAGTATTGTAACAGAATTTGAAAAGGTTCTGTTCTAAAGACTAAAATCTATAATTATTAAATTTTAACTTGAACCTTAAGCTTATTCTTATATCTTATTAATTAATAATTTACGTTTTCATGGCGTAATTAACAACATCTTTCCAATTAACTCCATCAGGAACTTTGATAGTTGTTACAGTAGGTATTCTTTTCTGTTTATCTTTGATAAACAACTCCAACCCCATTTTCTCTAAGCCATCGTATAATTTTTGAGAACATTCTTGATGTCTTTGAATCATTTTTTCCATCCCTTCATCACAAGCAATCGCTAGGGCTTCTCTTAAACCATACAACAGAGTGGCGGAAATTGTGTGATGATATCTAAAAAGAAATTTAATTATAAAATTGTTATATTTAAATATTAAAAAAATTTACACTCTTGGTCTTCCAAAACAATACCAGTAATCCCCTAAAATTTTCATGTCTAAATAATAAACATGACAAGGAGTTAAGCGAGTAAAAATTTTGTCTCTAAAAATAATTAAAAATTAAAGTGGTTATAATTATTTCATTTTAAGTATTTTACTGGGCTTTAGAACTAAAAGACATCGGTGTTATTCCAGGGGGGGCACTCAAACATTTTTGGGATCCGGTGTAAATAGCATCAATGTTCCATTTATCCATAAAAACGGGTACACTACCCAAAGAGGCAACTGTATCCACAGCAAATAAACAATTGTACCTATAACACATCATCTTTTTTATTATTTGGTGAATATATTTAAAAATTTTAACGAACCTGTGACAAAGTTCGCCAATTCCTTCAAGATTTTGATAAGCGCCACTTGAACTTTCGCCTTGAACAATGAAGAACAAAACCGGTTTGTGTTTCATCAATCCCTGTTCGATCTGTTCCAAAGTGAACACGTTTCCTGGTTCCGTTTTTATCTGCCTGACGATGCCTCCGTATCTTGTGGCCATGTTCGAAGCTCTTTCTCCCCATATACCGTTAACGGCAATTAAAACCTTTTCTCCGGGTTCCAGTAAATTACACATCACCGCTTCTATTCCTCCGTGTCCAGATGCGCTAATACATAAAGTTAATGTGTTTTTCGTTTGAAATATATACTGTAAAGCAGCTTTAATGTCGTCCATAATCTACAGTAAAAGTTATTATTATTTTTTTAAATTTGTTTCGTGTGATGTATTTTTGCGTTTAAATCTTTAAAACTCGTTCCGTAAGGTAAAACGAGACGATAATATGAAATTTCAAACCAAGTATTTGGAAGAGAGAATATGTAAAACACATGCCGCGGATGCTCTTACATGGTTTTTGATTGTTACTGCCCGAAGGAATTATCTAGTTGTTATATTAATGGGGCTTTAAAAAAAATTTCGAATGCCTCGAAATGGTTACCTGCGTCGTTTCCGTGTGGAGATGTCCCAAAACCGGTTGGCTTAGTGCGTGTAACACTCTTGGGGAACAATTTGATGGACCCGGACCCATCATGAGTTTGTGTGGCACAAATAAAGGCCTCTTTAACGAAATTGGTGCTGAAATCTCCATGGTGTTTGTTTCAATTAATAACAGAAAAAACTATTTCTATTTGCGATACAAACTTTGCGCGTTTATATATATCAAATCGAATAGACCACAACTTGCTCTAGTTAAACCGCAACTAGTAAGAATAACAAACTTATTTTGATGGTATCCATTTCGAAAGTGATTAGCGAGTGACCTTTGCGTTATCGTAATATTTCTTAAAAATGAATAACATCGTTATCAAAAATTCTAATGTTAATATGATTTTTATTTTGTAAGGTAGTTTTCCATTATTATATTAGTTCTGTTATTCATTGTAAATTATATATAAACAAAGTATATGTAACAGCAATATTTGTTCATCATTTCACAAATTCGATTTCACGAAATTAATATTGACGCTAATGAAAATGTTAAATTATGCAAAATAAATCGAGAAAAATAAACCGACTCCCACTCTGAATATTACAAATTTTATTTTAATTTTCCTCTTAGATTTTTCAAGATTGAAATCGGATAAAATACACGTTTAGAGTCTTAACACGTAAGTGTGAAGGTTTTATCACGGAATTTATTACGTTTTCTCTCGATTCATTTCATTCGGCCTCCTCGATTGCGATCGACTTTCATCAGAAGCAGTAAAATCTACGATGTGTTTACTCTAAGGGCGCGTTCTCGAGTTAGTACTTAAATGCGGATAGAAGACAATTGTAGGGTCGATGACTTCTTAGCTTAATTAAGGACGTCACGAAACGAAACCACAACTAATGTACTGGGACGATACTGGCGCAAACAAATCGGTTATGATAATAATTGTCGATCTAGGGCACCAGCTGTGGTTCTACACTTTAAAACCAACATCACTTACTTAAATAACTTTTCAAATAAACAGAAATTTTAATCTAAAATAACTTCATTGAATTATCAATTACAAAATTACTAACAATGAAAAAGATTCTTCAAAGCACATTTAAAACAGCTTGCAAGATGATGTAAAAGTAAACGGTACAGTTCGGCAATATAACGAAATATTAATCGAAGATAGGAGCTGGGTGTGTCGAGGACGAGTCGAAGTCGGCGAGCAATTTTTTACATCCGTTTATCCCTAATTCGATCTACGGTAATAACAATAATATAGCAGACACGCAAACTGGTCGGTTTATATACGGTCCGCGATAGAGAACGAAAGTCGTGATGGAGGAGGTCGGGGAATCGGAGACGGAAAAATAAAACGAACAGGATCCGAAGATAACGCACGCAGTGGTGCGTACAAAGCGTTTACTAAAACTTAAATAATTATGGAGGTATTGTAAAAAGATTTAAAAAAAAGTATATCATTAAAATACCGAGGAAAATACCAGGAATTTTCACACATCATATAAAATAATTACAATAAGATTAGTAAGGAGTAATAGGGTAACTACATTGGACTTAAAACGGAAGACGTTATAAATTAAACATTCAAATCCTTCTTTACTTTTATCTTTTTGTAATAGTATCCCATTTCACTGTGCACTTATAAATCATTGTGTTTGGTATGTAAACACGAAATTTGTCTGAATAGGTTCATATTATTATTAGGTGCCTATTTTGCACTTGTATATGTCACAGGTAAAGCGTGCATTTCAGTTAATGTACACATTAGCCAGTCAATGTATACATTAACATAACGTTTTAGTGAAAGTATTTATCAGTCAGAATGTATACATTTACTAGTGAATGTGTACATAAACTGGGCAGATGCTAACAATTGCTAACAGATGTTAGTAAAAGTTATAATAAACAAAATGGAAGTATAGTAGTAACCATTTTTTGGGTTGGGTTGAGTTTCGTTATGTAATATACTACTAAACGTACTTCAGCTTTAACTGGGCGTCATTAGTAATTGTATATGTTACAGTTAAAGCATTCATACCGTGAATGTACACATTGTCTAGTCAATGCATACATTAACTAATTTATCTGGTTAATGTGTATATAAAATACGAAATGTAAACTTTTACTATACTCTGTTTTTAAACCAGGAGGAGTATTTTAAATTTGTCACCAGATTGACCTTGCACGTGACTGATTGAATGCGAGGAAGGTTCACACACAGGCAATTTTGAATTTTGATTTTGAATTTGAAGGTTAGGTAATTGATAATTCGACAGTTTCAATGTTAATTTTTATGTATAGTGTTGACGATAACAAACGAAAATAAATACAATAATAAGTAAATAAATAAATAAATAATAATTATTAATTTAAATTTACCGCCAAAATATCTAGTGATATTTTCTGGTGATTTTTCCTAGTGTAAATCTGACTTTCGCGTTTACTCCTCCTGGTTTAAAAACAGAGTATAGTTGATGTATACAATTACTATTGACGCCCAGTTAAAGCTTAAAGTACGTTTACTAGTATATTACATAACGAAACCCAACCCAACCCAAAAAATGATTACTACTATACTTACTTACTTACTACTTGCATTAAATTTTCTTTGTTATAACTTTTACTAACATCTGTTAGCAAATGCATACACTGCCTAGTTTATGCAGTCATTAGTAAATGTATACACTCTATGACTGATTATTTTAATAATACTGGCCATAAAATCCTAAACTTATATGGGTTTCACATTATTTAATCTGTCAAATGTTAACCTTTTATTTTCAGCGGTGACTTTCTTCTGTTCTTTGCAGCTTCTCGTTTGCCTTGCTACACTTTAGAAACGGCAAACTTTTCCGCTAATATCAACATAGAAGCTTTCAAGCACGATCTAATTGAAGATATCACCACAGTGCTAGCGCAAAACATGGAAGATGTTGATGGCTCAGATGTTTGCTGGGTAGCTATATCAATTAACACGTTGTTAACGGCAATAAGGGACTCTTCTTCTTCGTATTCCTTCATTCGGGTTCTACAAGCTAATTCCAGTGGCTCTAAACTCGACTACAATGTTATCGTATCTTGCGTTGTAATGTGTTTTGATACTTAAAATCCTCCAGAAATTAAACCTGCTGCATCCAAACTCACTGGGAGAGACCTTGACCTTAGGAGGTTCTAGGCGGAAGTTCATCAATGGGCAAATACATACTGCTACCCAGATTTGTATGCAAGGCAAACATTTTTGCTCTATACCTGAATTAAGATTCTTCACTTTTTGCACCTGTTGGCCCAAGCGTCATTTTCATTCTCTATTATCTTTAATACTCGTTCGGGTTTTCTTGGTCTGCCCACTACAATGAAAAAAATGTATCAGAAATGCAAAAAAGCAACACAAACCGAAAAATATATGTGACAACTATTCTTTTGACTCCAAGTCTGTTGGATTTAGGTATTAATACTGCTAGAATATTAAAATAAGTCTATAGTGGCAAACCATATATTGTATCTGTCCTTTACATGTCTGATTTTAAGTTTGTATGCACGAGTTTGTCGAGCGAAATAACTGGAGTGGTCTACACTCAAAATTTTTGCAATTTTGATATGGCTCTGATGACTAATAACTTTTGATACAGTACTTTTCATTTTGAGAAAGATTGCAACTTACGGAAATCCACACAGCATAAATAACAAGAAATTTTGATTAATTGCATGCCACTACAACAAATAATACAGACCAGGTCAACAGCATCATGAAATATTTGATCAACTCTGATTTTTAGAATAACATAATACTTGAGAATATAAATTTAAAGAAAAATTTAATATTCATTATAAAAAAAAACGTACAAAGCAATCTTTGTACAGTAATTTTAAAGGAGTATATCTGGTTTTAAGATGAATAAGGTGCGCAAAAGCACACCTTCGAGTCGACTTTTGGATAATATCAATAATACCCAATAAATTCCATGGGGCCCGGACGTCACGACGACGGTACCCGATCATTTAGTAACGAACACTTCGGACTTGGTAATTACTCAACCGTGCCGCGGTAACGGTACATAAATCGGCGGCCGTTCAATATTGCGGCGAGCAGTCTCTCGTACGCTGCTTTTTTTTGCTCGTTTTTTGTCCAGTTTCGTGTTGTTCTCCACGTTTTAACCGAATCGAATCTAATCCGCCCTTCGTTGACTCTACATGAAACTAGGTGAAATAGAACCGTTAGGTACAGATTTTTTGTTTGTTTTTATTTTTAATTCCAAATAACATTTTTCTGTTAAAAAAAATAGAAATGATGCAAAAATATTTTAGTTAGTTTTGTTTTTTTTTTTAAGTTTCATAAACTCAATTAAATCTTTTCGCAACACTTATACAATTAATATTTTCCTATTATGTCTTCAATTCCACAATGAAAGGTTTATTATCCTTGTATTGGTGGTGTCGTTTTACGACGGTTTAACCCCGACAGATTAAGATTCCCTTTCTGTATTTGTACATAACAAATAACACTGTTTTGCGGTTTAAATCGTCCGTATAATTTAAAACGGACTTTTCGTCCAATCGAAACCGACCGAAACGTGTATCCAGACCGCAATTATAATTGAACCGGAGTTACTATGCCATCCGTGTCCCTATTCTATTCCTGTGACGGTGAGGCCAAACAGCTAGCAGCCGAGAGAGCCAGACCAATGGACGAGAAGAAGAACCCTGCGCGAGCCGGGACAAACTGGTAGTTAGTACAGAACTAGAAGAACAAGAGTGGTAGGTACCTTGACTCCGGGGCTCCGAGGTTCTCTCAGTTCAGTCACAATATGGCCACCTGTAGCGTCGCTCGTTGCCTCTCTTTAAAACTTTAAAAAGAAAAAAAACGTGTATTAGAATAGAACTTTTTAACTAAAAAAACTTTTCTTTCGTTAATAGTTTGTTGTGTAAGTGTTTTCTTAGTGATTAAGTTTGTACATTTTTATTTTGTGGTGGCTGTGCTTTTTTGGATAACTCCTTTTTAAAATATTCATAAAAAATCCAAGAGAAAGGTAAGCGCCTACGCGTCTATAAATAATTTTTTTAAGTTAAATATATTTAATAGTTATCGATTTAATATATTAGCAATTTTATATCGAAACGTCCACGTTTGGAGATTCGTGCACAATAATAATTTAAAGTTCCGATGTTGTAAATGCTTTAATGTTTTGCTAAAACCGCAGACGCTGGGAAGCCGTAAAGAATGACTTTTATCGTCCGTTTTACTGCTTATTATATTTCGCAACGATCGTTCTTTTTAATTTACCAGTTTAATGTATGAAATCCGCAAGAAATTATAAAGAGGAGGAGACGTACAGAAGGTCTCTGGGTGGTGGTGACAAACATTTCTCTTTATTCTTATGGCAAGACACTCGTCCCCTTCAACATTTTCAAATTAATTCTTTATTACTTTAAGCGAGATTGTTAACGATTGTTAACGGTCGTTT